TTTTTGCTAATGATTGTTTTGAACTTGCTTTCTTTTTGTTAGTAGAAATTGATGGAGTAATATTACTAGAAGAACTTCCTTCAAATGCTATTGTGTTACCAGGCGACTCTGACTGAAAAATAAAAAAAAAGAATATTTTAAATGATTTAAAAAAGTTACAAAAATCCTAAAAAAGTTTTGGATAACACATATGCGATATTTGATTGAAAATCAAAAAATAGTAATCTATAAACTGAATCCAAAAAACGTTAATAAGTGAAGGAATAAAAATCCCCGTTGTCGTAATTTGTCGTTTTAATTTATACACAATTTCTGTACTTACATTAATAACAAAGTAAGAACTTTGGTACGACCTTCCAAACACACTCCTAAACTCTAGTAAAAACCCAGATTCGACAACAAGTCTTAAAATTAAATACAGAACCTGTAGCATTTCAACATTGTTTGATGGAGATGGCTGTCCACTCATACTTCCATGTTGCCCCATTAAATGATCAGACTTAGGATGTAAAAATACAAAGTTTCCCGTTCCACTCGAGCCATTTAAATGTTGTTCCATTATAGATTGATTACTAGAAGAGGCACGTCCATTATTGCTTAACCCATCATCGTTAAGTAATATAGCCGATGTTGGCGTTCCATTCTTCTGTTAATAATTTTATAAGATTACAAATAAAGGAAAAGAAATACCTGTACGTTCATAAAAGATGATGATGCAAAATCGTTATTATCTGTAATACTATTAACAGAAGATGGTTTTTGTTGTTGTTGAATTGCAAAATAAACTTGTTGCTGTTGGTTATGGGAAGTTACAAAAACTGGAACTTTTGCTGCCATATTGCCTCCACTATTGCTAGTCATTAATTGGCCACTAGAAGATACAGCAGAAACAGCATTTACCTGAATCTATAAATTTGAAAAAAATATTTAAAAAAACAAACCTGATTAGAAACACCAACTCCCATATTTGTTGATAAATTAGACTGTGTCTGGTGCGGTGATTGATTATGAGAATGAACTACAGAAATACGAGAAGGAATTTGTTGTTGATGCTGAAGAAAGCGTTGTTGCTGTTCGTTGCCAGTAGAATAATTAGGATGGTGTTGAATGTGAGCACCAGAATAATTTTGTTGTAGAACATCTAATAAAGTTGAAACATTTTCTCTAATTACAGTCAAAATTTAGATACCCCCAAAATTAAATAGTAAATCGCCTAATTTCTAAATACAATTTTTAGCTCCATATAGATATAAAAACGGAACGGTCACAGTGTATTTTGCTCTACAGTTAAAATAATTAATAAAAGAATTTACGAAGTTCTTGTTGAGGCGATAATTTGTCTGTTGATGATATCGGAGTGGCAGGTTGCGAAGGGAATCGCATTGCATTACCACCAGATTTAGGCTGTTCACGTTGTATAACAACATTGTGACGAAAAACAGGCGAAGCTGAACTTTGAGGTATTAGCATTTGTCTTAAATGCTGTCCCTGAACGACACCTCCCACATTATTTCCATTAACAAATTGAGGGTTAGATTGTTGAATAAATTGTGATTGGGCCACCATAGGTGATACTCTAAAGAAAATTTGATTTTAAAATTTATTAAAATTTAAACTCTGATGGACGAGCAAATTGCATATAATGCTGTTGTTGTTGTAATTGTTGTTGAGTGACAACAACTGATTGTTGATGTTGTTGGGGTGAATTAACATTCATTGTTCTAATAATTGGTCGAGGAGATTGTTGAGATTGAAAATGAGGTTGAGGAGAGTTTTGTTGATGCTGAATCGCATGCATTCCATGCATAATCCCATGTTGTTGAAAAGCTGGAAATTTAGGAAAAATAATCCTTAAACAGGTTTATAATACTTTCATACCTTGTTGTCTATGTTGCAACATTCCTTGATGTGGGGGCGTTGGAGATCTGATTTGTTGTTGGATTTGTTGATGCTGCTGCTGAGTGGGAGTCATAAAATTGTGCTGCTAAAAACAAAAACAATTTAACAAAAGAAGGATTATTATTCAAATCAATACAAGTTTAAAAATACCATTGAGGACATGTTATGAGAGCCTTGAATTTGTTGGTGTTGAAGCTGCATAGCTTGATTTCTTTGTTGTTGCTGTTGTAGATTAAGAAAATAAGCTTGCTGATGGTTTTGAGGCTGCATTTGTTGTTGTTGTTGTTGATTATCAACGCCTCGATTAAAATGGTTCATTATTTATATGAAGATAAAATTATTTTTAATCATTTGAATATACCCTATTTGATAATTTCTTTTATCTACTAAATAAATTCATAAAAGTCTCAAAAAAGAAAATAAGATCAACAAGTTCAATTAGCAAAAGAAGGAGGACACGGCGAACCGCGAAACGGCCCACTGAACAAAAACCCCAAAACGTCCTCCTGATCAAAAACCTCCCAAAAAGTCCCACCCAAAAACGCCCCATCTAAAAATGTCCAAAAAGGTAAAAATACTTAATTCGTCGAATTATAAATTAAAATGGGGGGTAATCCCGTCATTTTTGAGTTACAACTATTTTTACGGTAGGGGATCATTGTGTACCGCCGTTTGTGTACCGCCGTTTGTGTACGGCCGTTTGTGTACCGCCGTTTGTGTACCTGGCCGTTTGTGTACCGGCCGTTTGTGTACCGCCGGTTGTGTACCCACCCAAAGGGGGACGTTTGTGTACCCGCATTATTTTTTGGATTAGGAGGGATTAAAGAAGATATAATTTTATTTAGAATAATTAAGGGAGATAATAGAAGGATTCTGGTGTGATATTGAGTCAATCCAGAATTCAAATGAACGAGTTAAAGAACCTGAAAAGCAAAAAAGGGGGTCAAATTCAATTTTGGGTGAAAAATTTTTAATATACAAATGATAGCCCATTCGAAAGGGCTCGGTGAGTTGAGTCGAATGACATCAAAATCAGCTTGATTGAATTATTCTGAACACTGTTATGACCAAACAGAATCTTTGCTGGAAAAACTTTTTGTGCTGCTACGAAGAGTAGAGGGCACTATTTAAATTACTCTAGTAAAAACTATTACCTAATACCCGACTCCGGCAGAATTTACCCGGATACGTGTAAAAAATCAAAATGTGAAAAAGAAAAAAAATATTTTTTAAAAATTTTATCAAAAAAAAATTTCAAAAACCATTGTCTTGTCTCGCTTCACTTATTAAATTTGTGGCCCTAAGAAGGGCCGTTTGGGTTTATTTTTGTTGTCGACGTTCTCCCAGGTTCACCACCTTCGTTGCTTCAGAAACCTACTAAAAAATTTTAGAGAATAAAAACTTAAAAAATAAAAATTCCAAACCTTATCAAATTTCCATCGTTGCAGCCGTGGGATGAAGTCCGACACGTGATGAGCAAAGTTTAGACCAACCTGAAATATAAAATCTAAAATTAAAAAATAAAAATTAACTTTTACCTACACAAGATTCTCGTCCTCCCTCTCGTCCTCATTGAGAAAGTTTAATGCTCGGATGGACTTGTGTGGAGGATCGGTCAACTAATTGTCAAAATTAGTTGAAAACCTTAAAAGAAAAACAAAAAATTAAAAAAAAAAATTTTAAAAAATAATGCGGGTACACAAACGTCCCCCTTTGGGTGGGTACACAACCGGCGGTACACAAACGGCCGGTACACAAACGGCCAGGTACACAAACGGCGGTACACAAACGGCCGTACACAAACGGCGGTACACAAACGGCGGTACACAATGATCCTGTTCCGCTATTTTTAAGTTTTAATTAACGTTTTATTATTTTCGTCTTCTGGTGTTTATATTTTTATTATTGTTTCATTTCCTTCAGATAACAATAGAAAAACGAATTCTATGACTTTTAATAAACTTGTCTTGGATGGGAAACGTGCAATTAACGACTCGTCTAAAGGTTTGTAAAGTGTTCTGAATTTATTAAATTGTATAAAAATTTAGACGTGATTAAACATGGAATTTTATTGTTGGAACGGGCGCTTCTCATTGGTTCCGAGGATCAACAAATAATTGCTGATATCAATCTTCAATTAGGTTAATAATTATTTAATAATTCTTAAAATATTCTTTATTAGGGAATGCTTATTTTTCTCTACACGATTTTGAACAAGCAAAGAATTTCTTCATAAGTGATTTGACTTTTTCTAAGTATTTTTATTTTTAAATATTTTTATTAAAATATATTTAGGCAATCAAAAAATGAAGAGAAGGAGGCCGAAGCATATTCTAATTTATCTGTAGCTTACGCAATGTAAATTTATTAATGAAAAGTTTAAATTCAACAAATTATTTTAGGCTCCTTGACTTTGATAGTTCAATTTTTTGTGCGGGAAGAGCTATTATTCTAGGAGCAAGATTAAATGATGATGTTATTTTAATTTTTAAATATTTTTCTAAAACATTTTTAAAGATTCTCAAAGGCCGTGGATATTATAATTGTGGCTTTGCCTATTTACAAGATGCATTGACTTGTTCTGAGGCTGACAACTCGGATGCAAATGCTCATTTGTATAATCAATATATTACAGAGCAACTTCAAAAATCTGTTTTTTCTTTAAAGTAATCTAAATTTTAAAAACAATTTGTACCTGTCGTTTTCCTTTTTTGGTGTATAAATGATAGCTCTTTCGAAAGAGCTAGTCGAACCGAGTTAAGTAAAGCCACAACGGATCGATCCGATAAAAATGAAGTTTCATCTAAAAAACATTGTGCTACTATGGAGAGATCAAATAGTATTGAAATACATAACCCCCATTGAAGTGTCAAGGTGTGGAATTTACTCCATTATGTCATTGTATCGATTTTGGTGACACTCGACTCAGCTCAACGGGCTCTTTTGAGCTAGCCTTATTTTCAAAATCTTTAGTTGTTTTACTTCAAAAATGGGAAATAACCAACTAGTATAGAGTAATTTTATAGACATCAAATGTGGAATCATTTTACCGTTTTTAAATTCTAATTGTTCTTTTTAAATTTAGAGAATATTTGTCAATTATGGAAAGACAGCAAGATAAAAAAATTAGTGGCCTTGCTCTTGGAAATCTTGCGAATGCTTATTTTTGCTTGTCTGAATATAATAAGTCAATTGATTGCCTTGAAAAGGTTTTATAAGAAAAATTTTATTTAAAAAAATTTTATTTTTAAAGAGATTGGCAATAGCTCGTGAATTGGATGATAAGTCAGCTATTGGTATGACTTTGATAAATATTGCAAAAGCTTATAGTAAGCTTGGAAATCATGAACTTGCAGAGAGAAATTTGCTGTATGTTTTTTAAATAAAAATAAAAAATCTAATAAAATTTTAAAGTGCCGCCCAAAGAATTTCAAAAGGACCTGATTTTCCCGAGGATCAAAGGCCGAAAATTGAAGTTGAATTGGAGAATGTAAATAAACCTTTAGATGAAAAAAGGACAATTGATGGTAGTTAAATTTATTTTCATATAATTTTAAAAATATTTTTTATAGATTCATTATCGCTTTCAAGTAAGCGATCACCTTCTAGTAGAGCTAGCAGCCATAGGCGCAAATCAATTTTTAAAAATTGGAAGAGTGTAACGAATTTAGACTCACTTGTTTCGAGGAAGGCAAAAGTTGGTTTTAGCATTTTTATTTCGTTATTTTTTCGAGAGATTTGTTAAAATTTTGACATTTGTTTTCCTAGCTTATTTTAATATTTTCAGAAACGTTTTTTGCAAAACAAAGTTTCAACCGACCTCGGGGACGCTGAAAATGACGGAGAATTCATGATGTGTCTTATTGAGCGGTCTAACAAACAACTTGATGATCAACGTGTTTGCCCAGAGAAGATTACCATCCCTTTAAATTTTGATGATCAAAGTTTAAATTCTGACTTTGGTAAATTTCTTTCTTTTATTCCTTTATACCTTCAAACTTTAGCATCATCCAGCGGTAACAGCCGACGTCTTTCATTGCCACGACATACATTGGCTAGTATGAAGAGTGGCGCCATCAAAAGTGTGACTAATATACCTAGATTCTTTTCTGGAAAAAATACAAAACGATTTTCGAAGAAAGGGAATGTTTCTGATGATGCCAGTTCATCAAAGGGAGGTAGCTTGACTAGCCGAATTTTAAAAATGGAGGTTAAAGATGACTAATTTTATTTTCATTATACATATTTGATTCTCATTATTTATTGTAAAATAAACAACTAAAATAATTTTCAACTTTCCATTGTCTCTCAAATTTTATTTTAAATACAAAAATTATTATTTGTGATTTAAAAAAAAATTAAGTCATTGATAGATATATGCAATTTTTGCTATTTTGTTTTTTACTCACAAAACGTTTTATTAAAAATTTAATTAAAAAAACCTCCTAACAAGTCAAAAATGAAACCAATAAAAATACATACAGTGCGTCCGTAAATATACGACTACGTGTGTTAAAGAGTATATGACAAAAAATACAAGTGGTCGTATAATTTAGGGACGCACTATATTAGATAACAATAATATCAATAAAATTATACTTATCATCATATTTCCTTCTATATATTTTCCGGAATACAAAAAACAGTTATCCATTCCATTAACCCACTTCCACAAATGGTACGTTTATCAGTCCTGGCCTTAAAATAAATTTAATTAGAAAAGTTTTTAAATTATTAAATACTCTTCTTTTTCTTCTTCTTCCCATCTTTCTTGAATACATCCAACTTTTCAACAAAATCCAATGTGTCATAGTCTGGATTATCATCAACATCGTCTCTACTCGATTTGAGACTACTTTCTTCCCCTACAAAAATTGTTCTTTACAGAAATTTTTTAATTTTCCTACGTTTCTGAGATTCTTCAGCGGCAAGAACAGCTGAAACTTTTTTCCCTTTCTTTAATGCCAACATTTCCTCACTGCTACTTTGCGGTCCAACAATCCCCGATGCTTTTGTTTTTTTCTTATTATTTGAAGGGGATGAAGAGGATTTTTTCTTTTCGGTTGATGAAGGTTTTTCTAAAAACAGAAAAATATTTTTTTGAAATTTAATCAAAAATTTTACCCCGTTTTTTAACTTTCTTTTCCTCTTCCATTGCTTTAATAGCGTCGTTTCGTTGTTTCCGCAATTCTTCTCTATATAGTCGTATATCTTCTTCTATCAATCTCTCCATGAATATCTCTGAAGCAGTACGTTTGTCTTTTTTCTTCTTTAAAATGAAAAAAAATTAACAAAATTAAAATTTTAATTCTTTCTCTCACCCTTTTACAACAACAACATTGAGCGACAAGAAGCCAAATACTTATGATTGACCAAAAGAACGTAGCTGCTATTGTCGTTAGTACCCAAAGCATTGATAAAAGACGAGAAGTTGAACAGTGAACAATGGAGAATTCTTTGTATGTTGCTTTTGTTTGTATGTTGTTTTGATCAGCTTAAATATATTCTCAACATCCAAAAGTTGTATAAAAGCATATTTTATCTGAACTTCGCAAAATCATTCCACATATTTCTAACAACATCTACCGCTCGGCATAAACAATGACAATGTTTTTGAAGCTGACAATGGGGAGTTTGCTGTTCTTTTGTTGTTTGGTTGTTGTGTTTTCTCTTCAATGTTGTTGTAAAAAGGTGAGGAATTTTGTTAAAATTAATTTGAATTTTATTTTTTTAGAAGAAGTGCAAGAAGGTTGGAGGAAAGAGAAGGGAAGAAGCTATGCCAAAACAAGAAGAAAAACAAAAATCGGCAGAAACCAAAAAAGATGCTGCTGCTAATGGAAATAAGATCTCAAAAGTTCCGCCAACTTCCAGCAAGGCTGTCGAAACCGTCAAAGCAAAAGAGGGCGAGAAGGACAAGAAGAATAATAGTGGTGAAGAAAGTAAGAGAATAATTGTTCATTTTTTAAATAATTTTATTTATTTTTTAGAGACTGCTATTTCTGCAGAACATCCATTTTCAACTGAAGATGGAAATGATAGTAAAATGCCTAGTACTTTAAAATCAAAAGCAACAGCCTTCACTCCGGGTACTGGAGAGACAAAGACAACAACCCCAACAACAACTACCCCAACAACAAAATTGTCTTTGTCTAAAATTGGTGAACAAGGAGGGGAAAAGAAAGTTTCGGCCGTTTTGACAGCTTTGACAGAACAAGAAAAAAGTGAGAAAAAAATAATAATTTTTTTGATAAATTTAATTTTTTTAGTCTTGGTCAAAGAAGCAGAAGAAGGAAGGAAGTTCCCATTGGAAGAAGACATTGATGAAAATCCTGACTATGATACATTGCAATATGCTGATAAAAAGGATGTATTTAAGACAGGATTCACATCAAAAGGAGTTCGAATTGAAAAGGAAAAGCCAAAAACGATTAAAAGTAAACAAAAGAAATTTAATTTAAAAAAGTATTTTTTTCTTTTAAGTCAAGCCTGGTGATTCTGCCTATTTGGGTGATCCTGCCTGATAATGCTAAAAGAAGAAATTGTTGGAAGAAAGAAATAAATATATAAAAGATATATAAATAATATTTGTTTGTTTGTTAATATAATTATTGTAAAATATATATTTGGGGAGTTGTTAAATAAATTGTCCTATATTAAATTTTTAAAAAATGATTTGGAATATTTATGAGTTTATATGTAGTAGTGATGGTCGGGATTCCCGGTCTCGGTTCCCGAGTCGGGAAATTTCCCGGGTTTTTTGAGCTCTCGGTCTCGGTGTTTTAGTCTCGGAAAACGAGACTAAATTTACACCCCTATTGACGGAAATTTTTTGAACTTTTTGAAGGAAAGGGGAAAGGAATATATTTATAATTTCTCCCATTTGCTCTTGATGGTTGATGGTTGAGTGGTTAAGTTGACTGACTTCACTCACTTAAATATTTCGTAAGTAGGAGGATTTTCGTAAGTAGGAAAAAAATAGGAGGATTTATGGCTTCAAAGGTTCGAATCCTAAGGTGGAAATGAGGTTGTGAAAATTTTTCTTTTAGGCTTTGATTTTGATTTTAAAATTTTTAATTTATTTTTTCTTAATTTTTTAAACTTGAAAAAAACATTAAAAATTTTAATTTAATCATGAATTTTTCAAAATTTCCTCCTGCGGCGCAGCGTTTTCGCCTCCGGCGGTAAAAAAGAAAGAAATCTGGCTATTGGCCTCCCAAATTTTTCAAAATTTTCGCCTGCGGCACAAAAAATGGAAGAAATCTGGCTTAAGGACCTCCAAAATTCTCAAAATTTTCGCCTGCGGCGCAGGAAATGGATGAAATAGGAGGATTTATGGCTTCAAAGCCTTGCAACGTTTGTTGTGTAGTTTGTTGTGTACCATGTCCCGTGGGACATGTGAGACTGAGAGAGGTATCCCTCCTAATCTTTTGGTCTCGACTCTCGGTCTCGACTCTCGGTCTCGACTCTCGGTCTCGATCCGGGACTCGGTCTCGGGGTTGATTCCCGGTCTCGGTCTCGACTCTCGGGTTTTTTTAACTCCCGACCATCACTAATATGTAGCATGTGTTTCGAATGAAATTATTTTCAAATGATTTAAAAAAATAAACAAAATTTTTGTTTAAATTTATTTCCATGAGGATCAGAGGAGGGTTGTATAAAAATTATAGAGATAAATAAATTCTCTTGATTCGATCATTAATTAACCCTGTGTATTTATTAAAAAAATAAAAAAATATTAACAATTTATTCGTAATTAATTTTCTGTTTTAATATATTAATTAATATATTTGATTGTTTTACAGCTAGAATAATATTAATTTGTGGGGGAAATAAACAAATAAAATTAAATTTTAAATAAATATTTTCTTCTATTAAATTTCCCAAAAGTAATTTATTTAATTTTTGTTTAAATTTATTTTGTAAAGAAGAAGAAGATTTTGTTGTTGTTTTTGTTGAATATTGAATTAAAAACTAAAAAAATTTTTTTTTGTTTTTTAATTTTATTTAAATATTTATTTACTTGTAAAATAAGTAATTTATCATTTGTTCTAATTACAGTCATTGTCTCCTCTTCCTCTTTTAGAAAATTTTCTTCTTCAATTGTTATATTAAAGAATTCCTCATTTAATTGAGCAAATAATTGAGAATATTTTTCTTAAATTAAAAAATTTTTTTGGAAAAAAAACTTTAAAAAAATTATGTAAGGCAGAGAAAGATCCAGCTGGCTAGCATTTAAAATGTTCACTAGGCGGGGGTTTAAGATCTATTAAAAGAGGAGCTGAAAACAGTGTACCGGTAGCTCGGTTGGTCGAGCACTTGTACGTGATGAGCGAAAAATCGCAGGATCAAGGCCTGTCCCTTACTTTATTTATGAAATCTGGGGAAAGACAAGTATTTAAACTAAAGATAATCTGTTCTGATATTTTTTCTTATTAAAAAACTACCTTCAATATAACAAAAAAAGAAAGGAGGACCACCACAAATTTGTTCAAATTTATACCCCAACATATCCAAACCAAAATTTGTCGGAATTGATTTTAACAAAATATTTTTATTATTTAAAATTATTTTTTCAATTTTTTCATTAAAGGAAGTAATTATTTTAATTAATTTTGTATTTATTGAATTATTTAAAATATTATTTAAAATATAAGGTAATAATTTATTTGTTGATTGTGAAGAATTCCAAGTTAATAATTCATTTAATAATGAAAGTAATAATCTCTTTAATTATTTTAAATTATTAAAAAAATTGAAAAATTAAGTTTGTGGAGGAGAAAAAACTAGGTATATTTATTTGTTGAACTACTAATTTGCCTGATTTAAATTACAAAAGGAAAATACGTAAAATAGTATTTAAAAATTAGGGGTCCGTATAATTTTGGAAAGCAGCAGAGGTCGATCGGAATTCCGATTTCCGATGTTTTTTCCTTCCAAGTTCCGACAGTTCCAATTTCCTACACCTTCGTCATTTCCGATCAACCTCTGGAACACAGTGTATAATAGAGCTTTTTTTATAATGGATGGAAAGAGTTTCCCTTTTCTTGGTGAATTTATGCCTATCTAAAAAATAGGTAATTCTTTTTCTCCACAAACATTCAACAAAACCAACTTTAATTTTATTTAAATTTCCAGTCAATAAATTTAAATTTTTTGATAAAATAATTTTTTCTTCTTCGTCTTCTGATGTTGTTTGTGAATAAATTGTATTTTGTGAATAACTGCTGTTAATAGTAATGGAAGAAGATGAAGAATTTGAAGAAGAATTTTCATTATTTTGTTTTTTAATTAATGAAAGAAACTTAAAAAATTTAATTTTTTAAAAATATTAAAATAAATTCAAAAAATGATTAAATAATATCCAAAATTAACTCTCTGTCAAGTAATAAATTAATGTCGAAATATAGTGATTAAAGAATTGGGTTAAGACGAGATTTTGATAAAAATTTTCGGTTATCGAGAACGAAATTCTTAATCTTTTAAATTTTTTAATTTTTCAGTATTTGAAATTTTTCGGAAAAATAAAATTTAAATTTTGTAAAGTCAAAAATTAAAAATCTATTTTCAAAGGATCATTAAAGTTTGGTCTCAAATAATGATTAATTAAAGACAAAGTTTGAGTGAAAAAATAAAAAGAGAGAATTTAATAAGGAAATATCAGAAATTTAAATTTAAAAAATATTTAATTAAATATAATTACCTTATCCAAAGATATTCTAAAACGATTCCATAATTTCTAAAAAAAATACACAATAATTTTTATTTTCTAAAATAAAATACCTGAATATATTCTTTAGTTAATATTGGACTACTTAAATAATAAAAATAGCCATTTGGTAATTTATTTGAAATTTTATTTAAATTTAATTTAATATTTTCTAAATGTTGTTTACATTCAATTAATAAATTAATTAAATTTATATTTAAATAATTATCACTAATATTCTCTAATATTTGTAAACATTCTGTTATATTGTAAATAATTAATAAATTATCTGAAAAAGAAGAATATTTAAATAAATAGAAAGAGTTTAGCAAAAGTTTAGTCACCGGCAGGATTCGAACCTGCGACCTTCTCGTAGTTATTGCTAGGCGCTCCCGCTTACCACATACAGGAGCTCTACCACTGAACTAACAGGCTTTCCCTTATATCCTTTCAGATCATTTAACCCCCGCCTAAGCGTTTTAAATGTTCTAGGTGAATCATCCTTACATAATTTAAAAATTAAAATTACCTGAAGGTATCAACAAAATAAATTCAATTTTTTCATTTAAAGAAATATTAAAAATATTATATAAAAATTGTTTTTGTTTAAAAGAAAGAAAAAAATGTTCAGATTGATATTTTAATAAATTTGTAATATTTTCTCCCTCTTCCTCCTCCTCTTCTTTAGGTAATTGTTGCCGAATAAAATTAATAATTGAATTTACTTCATTATTAAAATAATTATTTAATGTTGAGGCTGAAGCAATATAACGATCAGAACAAATAAGTAAACAACTAAAAAATAATCAGAATTTTTAAAGAAAAAATATCAGAATTACCTAACATCTCCATTAAAAATATTAAATTTCTGGGCAACATTTTTAGTTAATTCTTTTAATGCTGGAATTAATTCTGATTTAATTTCTTCTTTTTTTTTATCAGAAGAAAGAAAAAAATTTTTATTAAAAATATTATTTATATTATTCTGATTATTATTTTCATTTAATAATTTATTTATTCGAAATTCACAACGCCTTTTTAATTGTTTAACAAATGGAGTATTCATTGATAAAAGAGGAAATTGTTGAGGGCCATAATGAAAATTAATACAATTTAGAAGTGAAGTAAAAAGCCGTTCTGGGGAATTTAATAATAAACTGCTGGGGAAAAAAATTAAAAAATTAAAAATTTTTTTTAAAAATTTCTCAAAAAATTTACTTTTGTTCATCATCAAAAATCATAATAAAAATATAAGAAAATGCTAAATGGGCAATATTTACTTGAAGATTCCCACAATCATTTGATGAAGTTGGAGATGATTGAATACATTGAATTCTCTTTAATATTTGTTGCTTATTTTGATTTTCGATGGAATTTGCGCGACAGATGGCTACTAATGGTAAAAGCTGGCAAAGTAAAAAATTCTCCCCGTTTGTATCAAAAAGTAATTGTTCTGGTTGTTGATTGTTGTTAAGTAACTGTTTTTTGGGGTAATTAATTAAAAGGGGTTGTTTAATCTCAAAAAATCACTTCTCTCTCAACTTCCCACGCCAATCCCGGTTTACCCTTCTAGATTCTCATTTAAAATATTTAATTACCATTTTATTGTTTTCCTTTTCTATTTCTGATAGTGAATTATTATTTTGAAAATTATTTTCTTCTTTCTTCTCATTTGTTGTAATTAAAGAAACAGAAGAATAATGACAAGAATTAGGTGAAGAAATGCCGCTACTACTACTTGGCCTAGCACTTTGTTTTCCATGGGGAACATTAAAGAAATGCATCTTAAATTGAGCATTTCCAAAGGCATGAATAAGCTCATTTTGAGGTGATAAAAGTACAACACCCAACATTTTAAATAAATTTATTAAAAATATTTTTGTGTATTCTATTTGAAAAACAAAAGATTAAAATTTTATGAAAGAGAAAATTAAATAAAATTATTTTGTTGTTTACATTTTTAATATTTTATTTAAATTAATTAATTGTAGGAATGCCCCTCCCTTATCTATGTAATAAATATATTCATTGTGTGTAGAATAATGTTTGAAAGAATGTTTTCTATTAAAATAATCCTAATGAAAACCCAACTAAAATGCCGATATTTAAATCCTAACAGATAATATTCTAATAAAAATATTACAAAATAATTCTTTCAAATTAAAAAAATTGAAAAATTTTTGAAAAAATTAATTTATTTTTATGTAATAATTGTTAAAGAATTTTTATCAAAGTAAAATCGAATCATTTTTAATGTACACAAACAACAAAATAGTAATACAAAAATATATATGTTATGTTTTATATTAAAGATTGTCCTTATCTCAAATTTTTGAATAAATAACTGATTAGTAAATAATTGAGTTAATAATGATGAAAAAATGAAGAGAAAATGATTGAGACAAAAAAAAAGAAAATTTGTTTAAATTTTTAGAGAATATATTTCAAATTTAAGAAGAAGCTACAAAAATGACGAAATTATTTGATATAAAAAATGAAACAAAGACAATAAAATATTAATATAGGGGCTGGTATTTATTTAAGAGGAATTTTTATTTAAAAAATAAAAAGAATATTTTAAAATCATATAAAGGATTTCCATATTCTAAAAAAATTCAAAAAAAAAACATCAGATTTGGACTGATGTGAATGTATTCAGAGACTTAATATTATTGAATAGGATTTCCCGTTCTTAATTTTCAAAAAACAATATTCTCCATCTTTACTAATAAATGATATGAGAATATTAAAATTATGAATAATTAAAAAGAAAATAACAAAAAAGTGGGTATTACCCAACCAAAAATGTTGGGTAATTTTCTTTTTTTATTTTTGGCAAGTTAGTAATTAAAAAATATTTTTAGTGAAAGAGAAAATAAATGAGAAAATATTTTTTGACATAAAATCAGAAAAAAATGTTTAATAATTTCTAAAAATGTCATGTTTGATCAATACTTAAAGCTGTCAAAATTTGTTGTCTCTTCATTTGTGAGACACTAAAATAAAAAAAGTTTAAATTCTAAATTCCAAAAATTTCCAACTTACTCAAGTATTGAACTAATAAATTCAGCAGCATCAAAATCATCATTATTTACATTTTTCAAAAAAGGATGCCCCAATAATTCCTTGTGTTTTGGCCTTTTTTGAAAGTCTTTTGTTAAACTAAAAAAAATAAGAAAGAAAAATTTTTATTAATTAAGTTTACCAAATTGCAACAAAATCGTGAAAATCATCAGAATAACCGAGTGACCGATCAACTGAAGGTGCTTGTTCTTGAATAACTTGTTTAAGTTGTTCAAATGGTGTTTTCCATTTTCCATAAGGATGTTGACCACTTGCAATTTCAACCTTTAAATAAAATGAACTGAAGGGGAAATTTTTATTAATTAAGAGGAGATTAGCTTGATTTAATGAAAAAAATTAATTATATTTTTTTGTCAAAAAATAAATACCAAAGTTATCCCCAAACTCCAAACATCAGCTTGTACTCCATATGCTTCCTTCGATTCTCCTTCAATTCGTTCTGGAGGCCTAAAAATTTAAAGCAAAATAAAAAAGTTTTAAAATAATCTACATATAAGGTTTACAACCAGCATTAATTGTTTTTGCAACAGAATTGGTTAAATGCCCAGAAATACCAAAATCACATATTTTAACTTCTCCAGTCCTTTGTAATAAAATATTTGAAGGTTTTACATCTTTAAATAAAAAAGTGTTTAACAAAATTTTCAAAATAAACCTCTATGAATTAAATTCATTTGTTCCTTCATAAAATTTAAACCCACAACAACCTAAATAAAATTTAAAAATTCTCTATTAAATTTTAAAAATAAATCAAAGATAACACAAGTATTTAAAAATTGACCCTATCCCGAAAGAAGGGTCGAATCGTTTTTTTTCATTACTTTTTATTTCCTTATAAAAATGGTCAGTTTTCCTTAAAGATTATGTAGGTTGATGTTTGCCTTAAGGAAAAATGGTGAAAGAAATTAAATTTTTTAAATTTTTTTCTTGTTTTCGTTTGTATCATTTACACGGACGAACACACAGACAAACAAAACACGGACGAACACGGACACAAAACACGGACGAGCACGGACAGACAAAAGACGGACGAACGCAGACGAAACACGGACAGATAAAACAAGGACGGACACGAACGGTCGAACATGTGTCCGTCTGTATTTAGTCCGTCCTTGTTTTGTCTGTTCGTGTTCTCTGTCATTGTCCGTCCTTCTCCATTTTTCCTTAAGGCAAACGTCAACATACATCATTTTAAGGAAAACTAACCATTTTTATAAGGACATAAAAAGTAATGAAAAAAACGATTCGACCCTTCTTTCGGGATAGGGCCTAAAAATTTAAATAAAAATTACACAAAAAATTTTACCGAATAAGCAACCCTGGCAAGAAAAGGCTCTGGCAATTTTCGACCCATATCAACACAAAGACGGTAAAATTTATCCAAAGAAATATCCATAACTTCCATACAAATCCAAACATCTCCTTCTCTATACATTGCACCAAAAAAACGAACCATCTAAAAATTAGAAATTAATTTATTGTTAATTTTATACTAGAGGGATTTGAAAAATGAAAATAAAAAAATAAAGTAAAGCAGAGCTGGGCTATAGCTATCTCTCTCCTTCATCTAGTGCAAACTACCCATATTTTTCACTAAAGGTAAGAATTAAAAAGGCAATTCTATCCACAAAAATTATTAAAATTTTGAGTAATATTGCAGTGAAAAATTGTTAGTTTAAGAAATAACCTGTTTACAACATCCACTTTTCATACAAGCATCCAACTCAACAAACATTCTCTTTTGGCTTTCATCATTTATTGAGGAATGAATTCTCTATTAAATAAAACTAAAATTAATTTTAAAAATATAAAAACCTTCACAGCAAAAATTAAATCAGTTGGTCGATGCCTCATTTCCTCTACCACACCATAAGCCCCTCTGCCCAATTCAATGATCTTTTCGAGTTCATTGGCAGAAACGACAACTTCAGATCCATTATCGGTTCTGTAAAAATTTTGAAGTTTTATTTTTTTAACTTTATAAATACAAACTTCATAACAAATTTGTCGTCCAAATTGTCTGCCATACTTGGTGGTGGGGTCAAATCAGGCATTTTAATTTCCAACTTTTTTATTTCTTAAAATTTTATATTTAATAATTCAAAATAAATAAAAAACATACTTCCAGAAGCAGAAGACTTCATCCCGTAATTTTATAAATTAGAATAAATTAGCAACAAATCATAACATTAATTTAAAAATGAAGTAATTTTTAATTGACTTTATGAAATCTTTATTCTAGTATGTTAATTGAATTTTTGGCGAATTGAAAATTTTCTGTATAAATTTATTAAAATGGTAAATTTCAAAATATATTATGATACGTAGACTTTTAAAATATCAAATTTTAAAAGACCATTCATTTTTTTTCTCAAAGATCATTTTTGGTTTTTTTCTAATTTCACAATTTTTTGTGCTAGTTATTTCAAAATTTTTTTTTATTATTCATTAAAATGTTTGAAACAATTTTTTCATGATTTTAGGTAAATTAATGTCGTCAGAAAATCAACTTCAACAGAATGGAGCAGTCGCTCCTTTTGTTCAAAATGCGGCAGCAGTTAATGATCAACAGGTTTCTTCCTTTCTCCCAACTATTTATTTTGTTAAATTTTAAGCAGTTTCAACTTTGGCCTTTTCTCAAATCAATGTTAACTCGACTTTTGATGTTTTGGTTAATCTCATCACTTATTCGAAATTTTTTTGGTACAAAAAATGAACAAACTGGAACTGGCGTTTCAAAACAACAATTTCCTCCTTCGTTTAATTTATTTTCACCAAATCAACGATATCATTATTTTATGTATCTCTCTTCTCAGGTTTCCAAAAAAATTCTTTCTTTAACTATAATTTTTTAAGGCTAATCTTTTTCCTTTATTTGACGATGAAAAAACTAAATCTTCGCTTATTTGGGAAGAACACAATCTCTTTTATGGTGATTGGGAATCTGGTCCACAATTTGATGGTTCTCAAATTAAATCTCTTTCATTTCCAACTCCCGATGTTTTAAAGAAGAATGGATCTATTTATTTGCATGTATTTCTTGTAAAGGATGGACTTTCACATTTTTCTGGAGATTCTAATTATGTTGGAAAAGAGGCAAGAATTTTTTTTGAATAATTTTTATTTACATTCTAATTCTAATTTAGGTTGTTTATTCAAATACTCAATTGAATAAATACAAAAAGAAGTATTATCGAAAAACTACGAACCTTTTAACTGGGAAAACAGAACAAAATGTTGAAGAGCAACAAAAGGCAGATGAGGGGGTTAAATGGGAAATGTTAAATTATTGGCATCCAAATATTACTGTTAATCTTGTTACTGATTTTACGGCTTGGACCAAAGGTTTTTTTTTCATTTTGTAAATTTAACACATTTTTGGCTTTTGTTCTTTGATGTAATTTTTTTTTGTTTTTCACTCCTTTTGTGTTATCCTATTTTTTTATTAATATTTTTAAGGTCAGGTTCCGTCTCCTCTCGATGAAGCAGTCAAGTTTGACAGAAAAACCAATCGTTATTATCCAATTATTTTCTTTAATACTTATTGGAATTTGGGTAATGAATATCAACCTTTAAATGAAACTGTCGAAAATTTAAATTTAACAATAACATTTGCCCCTCTTTCACTTTTTAAATGGCAATTGTATGCATCACAACAGGTTTTTTAATAAATTCTAATTTTTCTCATCAACCCTCCTTTAGATGCGTAATAAATGGTCAAAAATGTTGGGTGGGGAAATTTTTGAAGAAAGTGATTCTGATCAAGATGTCATAAAACAAGCATTAATTGAG